TAAATGGCCATGTTGAATTATTAGAGTCCATTGAGTACCACATTATTATTTAAGCCACTTTATTGATAAAGGGGCAATTATTTTATAAATGAACATTAGAAAGATACAACATCCCTAAAGTTGCAAAAAAAAAAAAATGGCCAGATCTCTCTCTATGTGCTTTTAAACCTACCTACCTCTCTAATGTGGGACATTGACCTTATCATTAAGTATATCTATTCTGGCTGCACGAATGAGCTGCAGACAGACTTCAAAGATCCAAGAGATGCTGGATAATAGGTTCAGGCTGATCTGAGTGTCGGTGTTGGTGGTTAAGGGTGAGGGAGTGAGTATGGGAGGACTGCATTTAGGGGCTAGCTGATCATTCCCAGTTAAGAGACAGCTAAGTGAATTCAAGGATTTCAAAGAGCCAAACTTCACTTTTTGCCACCCACTACTGGTAAGATACCTTTCAATGATTGTCTTCTTAGAACCACCTGAGTTTTTTTTTTTTACTTCAATTCTTTCCCTCTGGAATTTAAGACAATGGCCCCTCAGTTTTCAAGATTATCACTCTCTGTGATGCATTTTACAGTAGAGCAGAAATGATCTTTGTCCTGAGTGCAAGACCCTAGTTCAGAAAAGGCATAGCACTGAATCCTGAGGCAGGTTTTATAATGAACCATAAAGATAAATTCTAGGAGCCAAGCAATTTTTTATATCATATGGAGAAAAGGGATGGCTGTCCAGATCACTTGGCATAGTCCAGGTACTTAATAAGTGCTTTTTGACTGATTATTAAGCTGAACCATCTGATGAAGAAGGCTCTCATTCTGAATTTTCTATCTCTTCTTCAATTGCATCTTTATGCAGTCTCAATGTAACTAAACCTGTATTCATGCCAAACACTTTTCTTGATCTTAGAGAGATTGGCTTTTGCTCCCCCCATCTCCCGTGAAAGGCAGGGTGATATAGTAAATAGCAAGTTGATCTCAGAGTCAGGAAAACCTGTGTTCAAATGCAGTCTTGATATATACAGTCTGTGTGACCCTGGGCAAGTTATTTAACCTCTCAGCACTGCAGGCAACTGTCTAAGGGCATCAGTCATAGGAAAGGCTCTGTTCTACACTGCTTCCACACTCAAATTTCCCTATTCTGTTGAAATCATTTATAGGAATGGTCCCTCAGAAAAAAACCCTATGTGTATATTTCCTAATCTAGTTTAGTGTGATTAATTCTTCTGATACTTCCATAGCCTACATGTTGAAATGCAAGGTCAAGTCTATTATCAGTTAAATAGCTGATTCAGCCTCTCTCTAAGGGTTACAACCCACTATCCTACAGGTGTGGATGACTCAATGTTTCACTGGAGAGGTCTTTTCAGAGGAAAATTAAGTGGAGATTTGACAATTATCCAATTAGGTTGATTGCTGGAGATGGTCAAGGAATACAATGCAGGCCAAAAGATACACTGATCAGATTTCTCCAAATAATTGCCAAACCTCCACTTTGTACTAAGTATGATTCAAAGAGCCTTCCCTGGAGGTTGTGCTTTCTTTCCAAGCAGCTGTGAAGAGTAAGATTTAGTTAGACTCTGGTCAGAGGGCACAAAAAGCCACAATGGGGGCAGTCTCCAGTAAGTTACAGCATATGGGAAATGTGACTTGAGGAGGGGGCGAGAATATACTTTTTCAAAGAAGCATTTATACAATAAACGCCTCTAAAATGCTCACTGGAAATTGACTACAGTTTTTAGGGTCAGAGATAAAGCAGTTTATTTTGTCTGGAAGTGTATAAATCTTTGTCAATTTGTTCAAGAAAGACCTGCCTTGCACTGCATGTGCATACACACTCACATATTTAATGAATAGGCATCTTGGGTGTTCAGCTACTCTTGAGTCACACTTCCTTTTGTTTTTGATGGCTTTTGTCCAGTATGATTGCTTAAAATAATACCCCTGCTCCCTCAGTGGTCCTATGAGTAGGTCTGATAAAGGGGTCACTGGATAGTCTGTGGTTACCCTCAGTCTCCTTGCTATTATACCCCTCTCTGCCCATTCTATTTACCACCCAGTAACCCACATGCCACTCCCTCTGAAGGGAAACAGACTCATTGTTGCTCATCATTCTCCAAACTAGGATCTCATTTTTATATTCTCTCACAAGCTTAGAACACTTATCTTTCAGTACATAGTTTGCCTCCAGCTCTACATACGAATCCTTTCCCTATATTTTAGAAGTCAGTGTTAAATGAGGCATATGGGATTTTGAAAGCATTTGAATATCTCCTTTATTAGCTTTTCCTGATGTCATATAGATGTTTCTGTATCCTTTTCTTAAACTGAACTCTTCTCAAAGACCCAGAAATTTTCCCAGCATCCAATCAGGATTCACATTAACCAAACCACTTGACAGCAGATTCAGCATATATAGACCAAGAAGAAACCACAGACCTTTGAAACAAAATGAACCAAGGAAACCCAAAATCTAAGACAAAATAGTTTGCAGAAAATTCTGAAAGATAAAATTACATAAAGAATTAAGGAAATGATGGAGAGGAGAAATATTAGCCTATTGTTATAAAAAAGATAGTTTTAAAATGTTCACATTTGTAATATCCAGATTCTCTTCTAATTTTGACTAGTAACTGTCGTCATCCTATGCCTACTCCTTTTTTACACATTATTCTTTTTTATACATTATATCTCAAAGACTATGCCTCCATCTTTATTTCTTTATCCATGTACTAAAATTGAAAAAAAAAATCCCATAACAACCCTTAAGAAATTTAACAATGGTTCTATCCTGCTCTAGGAAAATACTTGAATTTATGAAATAAATTATTTCTTTCCAAACACTAAATGATATCCTAGAGGTATGAAAGAGTCAATATTATCTCCAAGATATGATAAATACATGTATTTAACTACCCATAAGTTCAGATCTAATACTTAGCAAGTTAGAGACGTAAAGCAAAGTCTATCACTTTTAGATAGAATGTGCAAAGGTCTATAACAAAAAAAAACATAAGGCAGGACACAAAATGGTTATTTCAAAAGCATGGACAGTACAGTTCCTTGGGCCAGCCTAACAATGAATCCATGTGGATAGGCCTGATTAGTTTGGTTTGCGATCAGTGTCATGAGCTGGGCAAAAGTATCATTTCTGCTACTAAAGCGATGAAGTCTGAGTTTCATTTTCAGTAGTCCAGATGTTTAATGTAAAGCCTCTATATGTTCTTCCTGGAAATTGCTCCTCCATATGCCAGTGCCCACATATTCATTAAAAGACAGGTGCAATTATGGTCTATACATTTGTTTTGGACATTTGCTGGACTGAAGATTCAATTTTGTTGAATATTCTAAGTATGCTACTTTAGGCTATTTTCTTTCCATCAAATATGATCAAAGTTTAGGCCACAATAGGGAAGATAAAATAAGCACTATCCAAAGTGTAGAATTGAATTTACTTTTAGATATACATCTCAGGAAGATTACAGTTACCAGAATAAACAACCCCTAGCTATGTCCCTAACTAGTGGACTTTGGGCAGGTCAGTTAACCTTTTGGACCCAAGATCTATTCTACTTGGACCACAAGTATACAATAATACTCATTGAGACCCTTTAAGCAAATGAGTATACTGTGAGTCTATTAGTCTGAATTGGTTTAAATTAGGTTAATTCTTTACTATATAGCCTAGAAAGAGCCTAGAAAGATTGGACTCTCCCTACAGACACAAAAAGCCATCAAGGAAAGCATCTCAACATTAATGGTAGGCAGAATGGGGGGGGTACTAAAAGGGAAAACAAGAAAGCATCTTTTCTTTAGAGTATTCTAAAAGACATTGTGTTCCTATGTCTATAACAAAGGAGTATAATGTCCCAATTCAAACTAATGCTTTGATATTTTTTTTTGTTTTAATAGGAAACAGGACTCAGGCACAGTCATGGCTGATTTAGTTACAGTACTAAATGTCAAAGGCAAAGATGCAACCATGGAGCTGCCAAAAAACAGTTATAAAAGTACATGGCACAAAAGTGAACCATTTCAGTTCAAGGAAAGATGTTTCAACCTGGAAAAGAAACATTCCCCAGAGTTAGGCTGTTCTCCATGTACTGATGCCATTGGCCTAAAAGGGAATGCTTCATTATATTCAAGTATCTAAGGACTGAATGGCAGGGCAGAAGAAGGTAGGGGAAGGAAAGAGGCAAGTTGGATCCATCAGGAGAATCACTGGGTGCACAACCTCCAGCACCCCATGGCCATATGTCTATCTGAAAAAAGTTGGGATTGAGACCCAGAGGTGGGAAAAGCAACATTACCCAAGCATGTCCAGTTGAATCAAATTACCCTACTTCTTTGACACAAAATCTAAGTAAATAAACATTTAAAAGTCAGTATTATGCTTTTAGAGTGTCTGGATGATTCTAACTATCTTGGGATTAAGATGTCCATGAAAAATACTTTTTTGGGGAAAAAAAAGCAACTACCAAAAAGCAAAATGGAAAAGATGAAACCCAAAGATGCTGTGAAAGAGTCAAAGGGTACAAGCAGAATAACGTGTGCTTGGAGCTCCATGTGCTGTACTCATTCAGTGTGCTGTTTTAAAATTTCATCTACACACTCCAATTATTTCTTTTGACAGTTTCTTTTTGACAAACCACTTCAGAACATCTGCACTGATGGTTGCTAGTTTATACTAGAAGCTGCGTCACTGATTGCTACACTGAACAGCATGGCCAAAGGAGAATTTCTTGGGTCTGCAAGCTGTTAGATGCCTGAACTCTTCAAAAGGACCTGAGTGTAAGTCCTAAGGAATCAGGTGTGAAAACTTCAGAAGACTAGGTAATAATGCACTCCTTGTATTTTAATTATTTACAAATTAGAATGTGCAAGTCAGCTATTCATTTATTCATCCATTCAACAAGCACTTATTAGGCACCTACCACATACCAGGTTCTAGGGAACCTGGAGAACCTAGGGGAAATGTGAAATATTCCCTGACCATGAAGCACTTACATTCCATGTGAAGTGGGGAAGGCAGAGATGTTATCTTGGAGATATTGGTTTCCTCATCTATGCAGTTTTCAGTTATGGAGCTCCTAAGACCTTTAAGAATCAGAGGATTAAGAATCACAGAGGTTCTTACAAATCATGCAGTCCACCATCTTCATCTTACGGAGGAGGAAACAGGCCCAAAAGGTGAAATGATTTGCCCTCACACAGATAAAAAGCAATAAAGTTACTCAAACGTAGGTCTTCTAGGAATCTAGATCTACTCTTCTTTCTATTATATCCTTCTACCTGCATAATCTGAGCACAGTGAGGTCCCTTTTATGTTGGGAGAGGTTCAGTTTCTCTCACAGTTCATCTTGGGAGAGGTAGAGAAGAGGACAAGTGTGAGAGCACCAGCACCATTTCTTTCTTCCTGACATATGGTACCTTTCTTGATATCATCTTTATTGGTGTGTCAAAATTAACCTTCAGAGAAAGACCAAGAATCCCATCCCTTAAAACCGTCTCATTTAAGATAAATTTTTTTTACATGTTGGTTTAACTATCCTAACAATTGATACTCATCTTTGACAAAAGGGAAATGGCAGAATGAGCAAGTTTCTTTCTTAATTGCATGTATAAAAGTGAATATGTTGTAATGAACTTGTCACTGATCAAGCAGGATAGTGAAGCTACTTTCTTTCCTCCTTTTAAGATGAATGATGCTCATTCTGCCTTTACATCCTTTACTTTTGGATCTCCTAAAGTCTTTTAGGCTTTTGGCATACTCCATTATTACAAATTAGCTAGAAGGACACTTTTGAGTATGACTTGTCCATTCAAGGGCCTACTTTCCTACTCATGAATGCCTGACAAATATGGTCTGATATGATTCTCCAAATGCTTGTTGTTGAAGCCTAGGATCATGAGCCTTGGAGTTCATTAATTATCCAGTACTCAAAAGAACAATGTAGATGTGGATAGGTCCTAAGAATGAACTCACAAGATTCCCAGCTCAAAAGCTGGTCTAGACACTCATCCAAACCCAAACCTTTGACTCCTCTGAGACCTCACCACAGATTAGAGCTCTTCTATATTTTTAATTCTAAGTTTCAAAAGCAATAAAATAATTTCTCAGAACTGTTAATGTTTCTGGAAGAATCTTTGTTTTATGACGTCCATCAGTGCTTCTCTTAATCCATCTAATTATAACTAAGTGGCAAAGAAAATTTCCTTTCAGGGGGCTGTATTTTAGTATTCTCAAGCAAAACAATGACAACTGAAGAGTTTAAAAAACTTGATCAAATAATGCACATGCTCTCCGTGTGTGCAAAAATCTTCTGTCATGATACATGATTTTTTTTCCTACCTTATACTATGATTGTTTTCCCCTGGAAGCTGAATGCAAAAAAATTTCAATCAGAAATGCATATACTCTTCAACGTACATTCAATAGGCAAGTGTGCCCGAGTTAAACATTTTACCATCCTCCAGTGGAAGAATCCATGTGGCTTTAACAGCCAGTCCACCCAAAGATCCACCAACCAAAGCCAAAAGCCATGCCATAAGTCCAGTAGGATTTTGCATCTCTGTTTGGTTGTTTTCCTTCAATCTGACCAATGTAACATTTTAATGTAGAAAGTGAGCTGCCAGCACAAGACATGGGGGATGAAAATGAGGTGTGGCAGCTAAATGTCATCGTGGGCAAATTGCTGATTGTGTTTATCTGCTGCCAAGCAGTAAGAAGATAATTTTAGAGCTAAGACAGGAAGTGGAGGAGGCTGATGACAGAGATGTGGGCCCTACTCACCATTTTCATAAGCAAACAAAACACTTTCCATACTTTCATTCCACGATGTTGTGAAACTCTAAGAAGGTTGCATTTAGCCAAGGGCAGTGAAAGTCCCTACCTGGGCAGTGTAAAGGTTTTAGCATTAAACAGTTCTCAACATATCAATGACATAGATTGGTCGTGACATTGAGTGAGTCACCTTTCAGAAATAATGTTCTCTGAAGGAACCTTTCTTTCTCTTTTCAATATTCTTTATTGAACAGAGGATAGGTGAGGGTTGGGTCATAACAAATAGGGAATACTGCTAACCAACTAACTGTCTTGCCCTAGTTCTTGGTCTAGTGATACTGTCTCAGCCTAGTGATACTGCCAACCAAGGAAGGAATGAAGGAAGGAAGGAAAAAAGGGAGGGAGAAAGGAAGAATGCAGTAACAGGATCCCTAGTTATACCTACTTTAAAGGAAAACCTCAGAGGATTCTGATCTACTCAGATTATCTAAATTTTACATGCTTCTCTATATAAGCCACTTAAAAAGTAGAGCATTAAGGGATTATACTTTAAATACATTTTAACTCCACACTTTATGATGTTAGGATTGATTTACCAAACCTAACTCATCAAGTGCACTTAACAAACACATTAAAATTAGCAAGCTATGTTTCAGCTTTTGTCATTGACAGATATTTAAGTTTATGGTTAAATATAAAGCACATATAAATAAACTGAGGTAGGCAAACCTAGCAAAAAATTGGAAGGGGAAATGTTGGCATTGTTATCAACAATTCTGTTTAAAAAGAGAAAACCAAGTATACCCTACAAGCAGGATAATAATTGTTTCATAATTAACATTATAGCCTAAGCTGACCCAATTTGAATGACCCTACTCCACATTTGAGTCTCTTGAGATCAGAATTCTCAACTCAGAGCCCAGAGAATGTTATGATGATGGCTGAGGTTCTGAAATCAAGTACTCCAAGGCTTCTACTTTCACTAGGTCTAACAATATAACTTTTTGGTCACTCCATCACACACACACACACACACACACACACACACACACACACACACAGAGTTATGGAAGTCACTCCATTGTTTCTGCACTACATCCACTGAACACAAGTCTAAAGTCTGAAAGCCTACTGACATCCTAGTGTAACCTAAGGCCACAGAAATGTGCTCCCAACTTGGGGGTATAAAAATAAAAATGGTTTCCATTCTAGTTCCATTTTCCAAATACAATTTCTTCTTATGAGTCCTCAGTTCTATTTTTCAATGTTTCATTTTGTGTCTAACACACTTGATGTTTGATAAGGACAAATCCAGTAAAGCTATTGAAAAACAGAGCACTTTCATTTTTACATAGATATGCTGTACCTTACTCCAAGAATGTCTAACTCATCTGTAAATTATGAGTGAACCCCCTGTCACATAAATCCTAAAAGGACTATAATACATGGGAACAAATTAAACCACGGAAATCTTTTAAATGTCAACATGCTGACAGTCACATGCATCCTTTCTTCTATTTTCAAAACACTGTCTTGGTGATATTTCTGCAGCCAAAGCACATCAATCTAATCACAGAAGATTTCACTGATGTTTGTCTGATAAAACACTTAGCCCTAACTGTTCAATCAACATAGAGATGTTAGGGGTTTCCTCTTAGCTAGAACACTTTAAATACCATTTAACATTCAAAGCACTAAGATGCCATTGCAGTATTCTTGAGTTTTCCCTAAGAGATCTGACTGCTTTTACAATGAGTTCTTTTTTAAATGATAACAATCAAATTTTGTGGAACATAAAGATACAAGAAGTTGAGATTTTAAATAACTGGGGCTATACAAGTATAAATTGCCCTTGTGAAATACAGGATCTTAACTGAAATTTTGATCCCACTGGCTGGATGCCAGGCTTACCACAATCAACATGATTCATTTCTGCTGACGGGGGCCTTGGTATAAGTGGTCACAAATAGGTACAGGTTTGGGAATATACATTTTTTGTGATTTCCCTTTCTTTGCCACTTCCTGGGTCATTAAGAGTCAAAGAAATTGGTATTCTCTTAAAATACATACCCTGAAAAGTTCATAAGGTTAATTGCTATTATGGGAGCCCAGAAGGGCTATCTACCATCTTTTAAAACAGGCAATCAACAATGAAAGGGCATGTTTTGATTACACAAAAAGTTCTCTCATCTGAAAATCTACCCATTACAGTGACATTAAATACCCAATGACTGGGTCTAAGATGGAGTATTAGCATGAGCATAAAATCACCATTGAAGTAAAGTGACCAAATAAGGTGTTGACCTTAAGACATTATAGCAAGTGTTTATTTCTAAAGGCATTTACAAAGGAATTATAAGTATTTTCTTTTCCACCTTAAAGATCTACACAATTTCATAAACACAGTAGTATTACTACTGGTGAAGGGCATAGAAAATTCGTGCTGAGCAGGCAGTTGAGTAGGGGTGGCTGCTGTGTATTTGTAGGCCACCATAGAGAGAGAGACATCAGCAATCTTCCCTCCAGGTAACACCCAACAATTTTTTTTAAAAGGGAAAATACATTTTCCTCTGCGTTTCAGAAGAAATTGAGGAGACAATCTTGCTAAGCAGGCTGAAACATAGTTTTTTACTCCCCAGTGCAGCACAGGTTACATTGTATTGCACCAACTTCATGAAGTGTTCCATTTTTTCTACATCTTTTAGAAAAAACATCCAAATCTTTCATTTCCAGTGCTTAATGTTAGAAATATATTGTTACCATTTGCAGGAAGGTAGGTGAAATGCTGGTACTGGCTTCTCTTTCTCTTTCCATTGCAGACGTAGAAATTGACCTGAACAGGACTGGTAATTCTCTGATTGCGAAAAGGTGGTATCTCAACCACCAGTGAATTCTGAAACGGGAATGATACACAAGGAAAGGCATCGATCAGCATCTTACAAAAAAATAATAATTAGAATATATCTACACATGACCCTTTCAAATTCCTGTGTAGATCTTCTTTAAAAGAATAAAACCAACCTAATTACTGATGTTAATGAAGGGAAATAGAGAGGAAGCAAGTTAGAATAACAGAATGGAGTGCAAGTCTTGGAGTTGAGAAGTTATGGATTCAAGTCTTGCCTTTAACTTTATGTGATCACGGGCAAGTCCATTAACGTTTCAGTGCCCCTAAGCACCACTCAAAGACAACACATTTCAAAGGAGCTGCTGATCTGGATGGGTGGAGTAAGTTTCCACACCAGAGAATTCCTCACATTGAAATCAAACGTCTACACCAATTTGGGGGAAAAGGGGACTTGGGGAATAAGCATTTATTAAGCACCTCCTCCGTGCCAGGCACAGTGCTAAGGTTTTACAAATATTATCTCTTTATATGTACTATTAACTACCAAATGGTAGATAATCTATCCCTCAATTCTTATTTTCATCTCCTCCATCCCAATATCAGCATATTTATTCATCTCACTATTTTGCTTAAGCTAAGTGAAACTTAGTTTGTATTACTCTCTGAGTAATAGGTGAAAGGTTATCTTAGTGTGAATAGTGAGAAGGCAAAAGATCAAGAATATATGGGGGAAATTAACCTGGAATTAACAATTTGCTGGAGATAAAATGCCAAGCAGAAAATTAGTATTAACTCCATGCTCCAATTTCCGGACATATTAAGTCAACAAGCATTAATTAAGCATTTATTATATGACAGGCACTGTGTTAAGCACTGTGGGTTTTTTTTTTTTTTAAAAAAGGCAAACAAAACAACAATAACAATAAAAACCCCACAACTTTGGGAATATCTGACACCCATCAAGGTTCTCTACCCATTACTTGGCCAGTCATACACCTCATGAGGATGCAGAATGATCTCACTTATTCTAGATCTACAGTCCCTAGACCAATGTGAACAAAAAGAAAAAAACCACACAATCAATAGTGTATTTTACCGGTGGAAAATATTGGGCAGGAGCATTGTAAAGTACTTTTCCACAAGACTGACAAAGAAAAATCCAAGGAAATTGCCTCCTGGGGCCTTTTTGTTTTTTCTGAAGGAGAGTTTGTGGTTACCAGACTATCCATCTCTAATATTCAAGTTAGTGTTGGTCAATAAGAAAAATATTCCAACACATTCAAAGCTCCTTTAACTGGGTTTGCCTGGGAGTGTTATGAATGGGTATGACTAAATTCATATTAAGAATGTCTCTTATACTTAAAGTCAAGATAGATAAATTTATCTCAGGATAAATGAGGTAACCATCAAACTGTGGACTTGAGTCATTTGGAAAAAACAAAACAAAACATAATATATATTATTCTCCCCACTGAGCCAAATAAGGTTCAGAGATTACAGAGAAAGGTTCTTGAACTATTATGTGGAGAGTGGCTGATTACAAATATGGTTAACTTTTTATTTTTGGCTAGGCAATGGGGGTAAGTGACTTGCCCAGGGTCACACAGCTAGTAAGTGTCAAGTGTCTGAGACCAGATTTGAACTCAGATCCTCCTGACTCCAAGGCCACTGTTCCACCCAGCTGCCCCTGTGGTTATCTTTTTAGACAAATCTAATACATCTTTCTACAGATACCATGGCAAAGACATGACATTACCTGGTGATACGGTGCAGTAGAAAAACTAAAGGCCTGGATATTAGGAGAGTAGGGTTCTTTCTAATCCCAGTTATGCCCCTCTTAAATCACTTAAATCACTCTGAACCTCAGTGACAGAGTCACCATGTGAACCCCAGTATTCTGGATCCCAAGTTCATTGTTTTTTCCACTGTACTTTTTGGTTTCTGTGAGATAAATGGTTATCGGTAATAATAACAATAGCTAGCATTTATTTTTACTTTAACGTTTGAATTGAGTCCTTTTTTTTTAAGTCTGGCAATTGGGGTTAAGTTACTTGCCCAGGGTCACACAGCTAATAAGTCAAGTGTCTGAGGCTGAACTTGAACTCAGGAACTCCTGATTCCAAGGCCGGTGCTCTATCCACTGCACCACCTGGTGGCCCCTACTTTAACATCTGAAAAATGCACTCCATGTGCCATCTTATTTGATCTACAGTACAATTCTAGGGGGTAGGTACTATTATTAACCCCAGTTTACAAATGAAGAAACTGAGGTTGAAAAGTGGTTAGAGCCACAGGGCCACAACCCAGGGCCACAAAGGTAGTATCTATGGTAGGATCTGAACACACGTCTTCCTGATTTTACATCAAGCATCCCATTGTCTGTACCACTCAGCTGCCTCTACAAAGCATCTTTGATGTCACATCATATGATTAATTTTTAATAAGAAATAGGAGAGGAAGATTTGAGAAAAATACTTCTACTCACTTCTTTTGTTAAATTGTTTGGGCTTAAGGGAGTTCTTAATAGATACATATCTTGAATATTTTGCTCCTTTTATCAAAGATAAGATGGGAAACCTTTGTCAAATTGTACAGAGGATATATATTTTTTCTTTTCTTTTTTTTAGGCAATTGGGGTTAAGTGACTTGCCCAGGGTCACACAGGTCAGAGGACATATACTTTAAGGAACATATAAGCATCATAGCATGTCAGAGGCTTAACAGGCCCCCTTTCTTTGCAAATGAGAAATCAAAGATCCAAGGCAACTCCCCAAGTTCATATAGTAAATGGCAGTGTGAGGATTTGAACCCAGGTCAATATTCTTCTAATATTGTGCTCTTTCTACTACACTATAGTATATGGTACCAAGTTAAAACTGTTTTTACTAGCTATACATTCCTACTACTTTCAGACTTCCCCACCTATGAGGCTCAGAGAGATTGAGTGACTTTGTCCATAGTCATTGCTAACAAGAGTCAGAGTTGGAATTTCCACCCCTCCAGTCTTCCTGACTCTAATACTCTTAGCTGATATTTGAGTGGTGCAAAAGATAAATTCTAGGCCTAGAGTCAGGAAGATCTGACTTCAAATCTTTATTCAAATACTTACTAGTTGTGTAATCCTGAGCAAATCACCAAGCAAACTCTCTACCTTAGTTTCTTCATCTGTAAAGTGAGGATAATAATAGCACCTTCCTCCCATGATTGTTGTGAGGATCGAATGAGTTAACATATATAAAGCACTTTGCAAACCTTAAAGCCCTACATAAATACTATTTACCATTATCCATTACATCACATTCATTTTTTAACATATGAGAGGGAAAATGAAGTTAAGATTAAAAAAGGAAGAAGATTTACATTCATAGAAAAAACAGAGAAAGTATCTTCAGAAACAATGGAGATACACATTCACCTTGGCTTTTAAAAAAATAACTTATACATGAAAATCAGAATGTACAGACTACTTAAATTGGGAGAAGGAAGTTGTGCTTATTTGCAGCACAAAATGATTTATTTAACATGCCTGTATTAAAAATCAAACATTTCTGATGAGCATAGAAGAAGCAGAGATGGTAGAAATGACTTGGTGGAACAGAGAGATGGAGTGATGTGGGAACACATACATAGAATGTTTAATCTTTCTGTATCCCAGCTGAAGGAACATCATGCGTGAAATTTACAGTCAAGTTCCTATAAGCAAGTGAAGCACAGTAAACAAGAGCTCCCAGTGGAAAAGAAGATGGCCAGCTCCCACCATCTTCCATAGTCCAACTTCACGTGCACAAAGAGCTAATGAGCTACACAAAAGAGAGTCTGATTCTCTATGCTTACGGCTTCCTTTGCTTACTACCAAATTCCCTTGCTATGTGCATGGCCAGCAAATGACCACTGGTCTTCCAGTAGTTACTGACCCTTTGGATGGATGTCACTATTCCTTTACTGAGGCATCTGCCATTGGAGATTGCCTAATGTCAACCCCCTGGGGAAGGTAGGTGGAGGCAGGAAGACTCATCTTCCTGAGTTAAAATCTGGTCTCAAAAACTTAGTAGCTGTGTGACCCTGGGCAAGTCACTTAACCCTGTTTACCTCAGTTTCCTCATCTGTAAAGTGAGCTGGAGAAGAAAATTGCAAATCATTCCAGTATCTTTGCCAAGCAAAGCCCAAATGGAGGCACAAAGAGTTAGGCACGACTGGAAAAAATAACTAAACAACAATGTCATCCCCAAAAGTTCCCTAAGGCTACTCTAGAAATCTACTCCATTCAGACCAAGGCCAGATAGAACTCAATACAAATGATTCAGAACAACGGATAAGAGGAATATTAGTTCCACATTTACTGTCATGGTGGCTTGTCCATAATTATAAAGAATAAGTTGACAACAGCTGTAATTATATAAGAAGGCTAGCAAAGAGATGAATAATATATGAAAGGAAGGGGGAAAGTAAGTTTACATCACTACTGTGAGTAAAGTCAGGGACTGGTCCCAATATGCAAAAGATCACAGGTTCATAGCATTAGAGCCAGAAGAGACCTTAAAGGCCAACCCCTGCATTTTGTACATGAAGAAGCTGAACCTCGAAGAACTTAAGGGATTTGCCCAAGGTCAACAATGGCAATGGGTGACAGAACTGGGATCTGAATTATCTCCTCTGACTCTAAATCCAGCCCTATTTTCAGTATAGTTACGAAGGTAACTGGCATTTTGAGCCTAGGGAAACATTGAAAAATGATGCTGTGGCCAAGGTATCCCTGAGATAAAATGAAGCAAAGTTTGAGGCAATTATGCAAAAAAATAGCAATGAAACACTGCTCAGTGTGCTTCATCACTTTCTAGCAGCTGGTATATTTCTGGGAAAATCTGCGTTAGTATTAGAGAGAGGCAATACCAGTAAGGAGGTAAAGTTGTAAGACTACTATGCACTAATTTTGATGTGAGGAATGAGAAATGAAAGTGAGAGAGTAAATTAGCATTGCTAATTAGTGAACAAAAACTTATCAACCATATACACTTCAAATCAACTTCGTTTTTCCAGTGGAGGAACAGAAAAAACCAACATACGTTACTGATCATCCAAAATAAATCATTAACCACCAGAGGCAATCAATCAATGAATAAGCATTTATTAAATACTCACTAAGTGCCCAGCACTTAGCTGGCTGCTTTGAGAGACACAAAATAAAACCGACATACAATTCTGCAGGTAAATGGTTGTTAGTAAAGCTGGAGGAGAAATCTAATATTAATAATAAGAAGAATGATAGCCATAAAATATGTTGCAGATTTGTCCGTCCCTTTTAGCTACATGTATCAAAAAAAATCACATATTTATAGGCAAACCAATAAGTAAATTTGTCAAGTAAGACCACATCTGAGGTGGTGTCTATTTTACATCTGAAACAAAAGTAACTAATAAAAAAATCATCATGTGCTCTGTAGTAGATGGTTCACAATAAGCCATTGAAATATTGGTCTAAGAACCTACTTGTCTATGGGATGGGGGATATGCTCTACTGAAGAGCAGGTCAATTTTGAGAGTCTGGAAACAAGTATTGTTTCCCAGGGGACTTGGGGAGAGCAGCAGTACTCATATTGGGGAATGCCCCATTTCTTATTCTCTTTGGTTGGCATTGAAGTGACTGTGATAGAGAAAGCAGAAAAATACACATGCATCCACGTGAAAGGATGGGAAATACATGCCAAGAGCTTCAGGTTTTGAGAATTAAAATATATATATGTTTTCTATTGTTATTCAATCGTGTCTGACTCTTTGTGACCCCACTTGGGTTTTTCTTGGCAAAGATACCAGAATGGTTTGCTATTTCCTTCTTCAGCTCATTTTACAGATGAGGAAACTGAGGTAAACAGGGTTAAGTGGCTTGCCCAGGGTCACACAAGCTAGTAAATGTCTGAGGCCAGATTTGGACTCAGGAAAATAAGTCTTCCTGACTCCAGGCACCTTATCTACTGTGCCACCTAGCCATCCCATATGTTTTCTAGTGACATCCATTTTGTGCCCAAACCATTTTACAAAGTATTTCCAGGAAGACAGACTCATGTGTCCTGGTCCATGTGGCTACTGTTACCATCACTATTCTTCACATTATTTAGCTTCATTTTAGCACTTGTTTCACAGAGTGTTTTACAATCATTTTCACAACTTGTTCATGCCCTATCTATTATTTTTATTAGTTGTTCTATTTTTACCAAAGAAACTATATGCCAAAGTTAAAGAAACTCTAATCCTATTCTAGCTGGATGCTATAGAAACATGTAAGAGCATGTATCTTTTTTAATGGCGTCACATTTAAGGAATACTTACTGGCTTGCACATTTCTTTGTCAGTTTTTGCTTCCATTTCCCACACATGGTGACCATCTAAAAGGAAAAGACAGAAATAAATCTATTCCTTTATTTACACATTTCTTTTGACCTCCATTCTATCCTCCCCCATTCTCTTCTCTTACCCTTAGACCAATATAAATGACAACTAGTATTATCATTATGCAGGCAACATTAGGATTTGGTGGTAGGAAAAAAAAATAACTGTATTGAGGCACCAAAACTTTTCCTGATTCCTGGATGACCTTTTTCTAGATTGAACAACAAACATTAGTAAGGTTCTATTGTATAGAAAGCACTATGTTGGATATAGGAGAATACACAATTTAGATAAGGCATGGTTCCTGCCTTTACGAAGCTTAGTATCTGACACAGATGACTATAATACATGATGTTCCATGATAGTTATCTAAGACGTTATCGATGTCAATGAAGTGGGTAGCTTGCAGCTGCCCTGACATTGAATGTGGACACAAGGCTTAATGATAGAACATAGGTTCTTAGACATCAGTTCTCAACTTAACCTAGGTATATTCATCATGGTAGAGCCCATAGTCCTCACAAACTGGATTCCCTTATAACAATAAGCATGTTACTGGCCACACAACTGATGAACTTTAGATGTAAGCCATTTGGACTTAGATTTAGTTAATGTGTCTACCTTACTGCAACTGAAACTGGGCAATGACAGAATTTCTAAATCCATATCAATCTATCAGAAGAGAAATGAGAAACATGGGGAAAATGCAGGCTGGCCCCAAAGCTAATTGTGTCTCTGTCCAGCAGCAGGAAGAGAACATTTGAGGTGTTATGAGCTCTGCTGTTTTACCAGAGATGCCATTGAAACAAATGGCAAAATGACACTTGTGGCGTTTTTCTGTATACTTATTGCCATATTCGGACATACAAGTACAAATACAAGTTCATTTAAACTTCAACCCAGGTTGTGTTTGTGTGGTAGATTTTCTTTAAAAAAAAAATAATGGTTCAAGGTGCATACGAATGAACTTTTTGTTCTTTATTGCCTACCATGCCCAACACAGAGGTGTCACTTTTAGGAGTGTCTAATGCATTCTGAATGCCTGCAAACAATAGTCTTTGTATACAGAAGCATCTCTCTGGAAGGTAGGCTGTTATGAGAATGGCATGAAGTAATTATTCGTAAAGTGACAGGTAAAATTATGGTGTTGATTACTTACAAGGGAAATTTACCTCTACCTCCTACCCCTTCAGTCTTTTATCTCTACCTAAAATGAAAAGATATCCTAAAAAAAAATTAAGTAATCACAATTTATTAATCCACCTACTAATGTATGGAGCAACTGAAATCTACATTCAGTGAATATCCACATAGATGAAATCATGAATCGCTGAAATGCTGGAACATGTACATGTAGCCTACATTTCTCTTCGTGTTTTATTTTAAAAGGAGAAAAGATATACCTTTTTCAAGCTACAAAGCAAAATAAAATCAGAGAAATGCCTTCAGAAGTTATTGATTGAAGAAAATATATTAGCTATACCAATGCCCAGAACCCTCCAACATTATGTTTCAAACATGCCAGAATTACACAAACTTCCCAGGGCTACCAGATTCCAGTACACAATTCATTCATCAGATGAATCCACTAAATCAATGAATAATAAAAAAAAAATAGACCATTGTCTTTTGGGTGCAGGACCCAACTTTCCTACAGGAAAAAATACTGTGAAACTAAAAATAAACAGTTGCTCTTGAAGACATCAGAATTTTGACAGCTCTGCAAAACTTCCAAAGTTCTGGCCTGCTCGAGAACTTTGGCCAATGGAGTATTTTTTTACTGTAGCCATTATGTCCTGGTGGTGATCAGGAATGCTTTCCCGGCTTTGAAAAAGTGTGGCTAGAACTTTGTATTGACTTGTGCTTAATTTCTAGTTTCTATCTTAGAGAGAGACTATATGGTCTAGACTCTAGGATATGATCTAGGACTCTGTCTTGGAGCCCTGCAAAGCTGATTTTCCCCTCCTCTCCTACTTTTTTTTTTTTTTAAGAAATCTAAGTTATTCTTTACATAACTAATCCTCTATTACTTCTCTTTGGCACTAACCTAAAAGCTTTTGAAATTTTATTATGACAAAGCACAAGTTTGCTCAAAAAAACATTTTAGGTGTTATAATCTAAACTGTTAGGGAAAAATTCCGGCCAGTGTTTAGTCTTTACCTATCAACTAGAAGTTAAGAGTCATAGTTTGGGTTTCAGTAAGAAATTCTCTTGAGAATGTCCAGACCTTTGCTGTTAAAAAGGGGGGGCAGAAGGGATTAAGGGGGAGTGAGTGTCAGAGGGAGAGAAGGGGAATAGAGGACTCATTAAGAGTTAGTGACATTTCATTTAACAAAAACATAAGGAGGAGAAGCTGTTATGAAGCAAAGACAAAAAAAAAAGTAGACAATTCCTCATGTTACGTCTGGTGAACCAAGAGGGAAATCTCAACGCCCACGAACTGGGACCTACTCCAGGAGGGAAACCTTAGACCACTACGTCAACCTCTTACAGTAAACATGTTTTGCAGGTTTATACAATTTAAAAGAAAAAAAAAATTGGGATAGGAACAATTTGTGGGGGCCTAACTGGTAAGGAAATTTGCCTATGGAGGAGAAAAGAATTTTCTCCCAATGCAATGAGCATGTGGGATACCTTTCTTGTTGTCAGAATGTGCCTAAGAAGTGAGGCCTGATAAACCACAAAAGTTTCCATTGTAAGCTTGCCACATCTGCATTGGCCTGGCTGGTTTAGGGCCCAAGGCAACTCCCTGCCTGGACGGGCACCAACAAAAGTACACCAGAGCAATTTATACCTTTCCAAAATGCAAATAATTCAAATTACAGACATAACACAAAGCTGAAGCAGACACATTTCAGGCATTCCCGTTAAAAGTTTTGCTCTCTGGACCCACCAAAATATATGTGAAGCTTTGAAGGGCCAGTTCTTGGGGCCTTCCCCCAATCAATCTGATAATTTTTTTTTTCCTTGGGTGACATGGAAAGCCATTTCAGACACTGGCTTCGACTTTGCACAGTGGAGTGAATTCAGAGAAAATAATTTGGCCATTAGTATAGCTAGGACCATTTTGCAGTCCTATCTTTGGAGGGAAAGCATGTGATTCTTCTTTCTTCTCAAAATTTATTCCCATCCCTTAAGGGCAAGATATATACTATTTACTGGGTTGCTGGTGTGTCCTCTGAGACTTTTAAATGGCAGGGAGAGAATCTAAACAGAAAAAAAAGTTGCCAATTGGAAAATCTGGGTTCAAATCCTGCCTTTGATACCTGCTGTGTTATTCTGGGCAAGTCACTTAAACTCTGAGTATTCTAGGCAAGTCTCTACGATTCTAAGCTGCTGACCTAAAGGGACTTTCCTTACCCAGATGTTAACTATACTAATGAAATCACAAGTCCAGTCCCTATGGCCCATCCTAACAGCCTCATAATTTTTAGGAATCTCTACCAATTTCTCACTTTCTCATCATCCATTAACCATTTTACACTCAGTTCTCCCCATGAAACACCTGAAGTCACCAACAATGAAATTATGGCTCTTATGATCCATTAAATTTCTCTCAGAGCAGATGAAAGATGACAAGGTCTGCCAAGTGGATCCATCACAGCCTAGGGCTGTCTTCTGCAAGGCACCTGAATTAGGAGGTGAGGGATGGATTCAATCCCATCCAAAATAGCCTCCCACTGGAAAGGGAAATGGCCAGCCCTGAATGGGCCTTTGTGTTTCAGCCTTATCAAATCCTCATTGCATTTCTCAGTGCTCCAGGAAACTGCATAGAAGCCCAGGGGTAAAAATATTCCAAATCATTAGGGAATTCCCTACAGCATGAGTCATAGAAAAGGCTTCCCCACCACACCCAGCTAGAAGATTTCTACACAAACAGGGCACTGTGGGTCTGTTCCAACACTCCACAGGATTGAAAAAGAAGCTGTTTAAAACTCACAATGTCAATTAGTCATATATATTGTAGTGTTTTTCTAGGGCTGAGCTTTTTTTTTTTCCACACACGAAAGCAACCCAGAGTTTATTTAGGAGCTGTAAAAGCTTTTCTAAGACACACTCTATTATTTTCTAATCCTTCTTGGTGTGCTGGGCATTATTCTTAGATGTCTGTGATTGGATTTCTACACACTAGAGAATGGGTTCTGGATAGTTAGAGCTCTGTGAGATCACCAGCATCAACACCTATTAACCAAAATGGTTCAACAGTCACATGAATTAAAAGAGAGTGCATAGATCAAAAAGGGTCATAAAGCAGAATGGTTATGACAGCCTTGTCTGGGATCACCAATCCCATCACCCTATGGCTATTATTTCTGCATCTGGAGACTGGGGAAAGGAGAAGAAAATGCAGAATGGGCATCTTTCTAGATAAAGACTTCTTTGACTTCAGTTACTCCAGTACCTACAATGGAAGTATACCAATTTGTTTTATTTTTGTTTTCAGGGAAATGAAAGAGAGAGAGAGAGACAGATTCAGAGACAGAGAGGGAAAGAGAGAGACAGAGAAACAGCAAGACAAAGAGAAATCAACTGATATGGACATAGGGAGACACAGAGTTCACACTTAGAATTGTTTCACTATTTAAATCAGTCCAATAAAAAGTAATGACTGAAAATTAAGACTCTCCTCTGCTTAGGATTCCTTATGTCCTTATCCTCCTCCTCTATTCTAAAATTCTCACCAAATGCAAAGAAATCATCCATTTCAGAATCAATATCAACTTGTTTTTAAGCAAGATGTAAAACATTTTTGGCAAATTCTTACCAAATTCTCCCTACTATCTAAAGTGGGCAAAGTTATCCAAGAAAATTAAGTGTAATATCAGTTAGTTTTACCCCCAAACACAAGAAAGAGAGGGAAGTTGGAAATGAGGAGGAAAAATAAATCCATTTCCTCATTTATTTATTCATTTTCATCTCAGTTTGTTCCTTAGTTCAATAACAGGCTTAGTGAGATGGCTGTCAGTCTATAGCAAGGAAACTCCATTCTCTTGAA